CACACACACAATCCAGACCATCCTTCCAATGAGTGTAAGTTGAGAGTAGCAATCAAAAGATTGTTTTTAAAGGAAAAAAAAAGTAGGTCATGGCCCACTGCGGGGCTGGGGTGAGAGAATTGAGCCAGATTCCATGGATTCATTCCAAGAGATTCTCCGGGCTTTCCAGACTCCATATCAGAAGACTTTAAAAGGAAAAGCCTCTCCTGGTCTTAAGTTTACAGGTCTAAAGGCTCAGCGGATATGAACCAGACAAAGGCTAGAGATAGAGTATGCAACTTCTGGGCCAGTTGGAATCTTGGCTAGAGTAGGAAGCTTCCATGCTGATCCTGGTCCAAAGAACCAGGGGAGGACTCTGAAGTGCTTCCCCTTTACCCCCAGCCCCACAAGGAGATGTCCTTGTTAGTGACATTTCACAAGACGGCACAGCAGAGTCTGCTCAATAGCACACTGGGGATGGACAAGGCCTGCCTCTGGGTATGCCCCAAAGCAGACTAACAGGCCTGCTTTAATGTAGTGCCAGGTGAGGTGGGCCAGGAAGGCTTAACAGAGTGAGGACTGGGTGCTAGAGCACTGGGATACAGGGCAGGTTCTGAGAGCTGCCTGCAGGCCAGGGCCTCATCCTCAAAGAGTCAGCTCAAAGAAGCTTCCCCATGGCCCCCATCGAAGCCAGCTTTGCCCATTAAAGTATCCAGGAAAGGAAGGCTTGGGGTCTCCACTTCCTGATCCAAACACCCCAGCACTGTGCTCTCCCATTTCACAGCAAAGATTTCCACCCATGATGCCCACCCTGGAGGACAGAAACCTAAAAGGATCCATTGCTAGGAAGGGAAAGGAGGGCACTCCTTCCTGGGCATAGTGGAGAATGAAGCCTGAGCTGCCTCTTCTCTACATGCCCCCCTCCCGCCACCCGTCTCCACTAGGCTCCTCCGTGGACATGGGGAAAGGGTCTGTGGGTCAGTAAGTCAGGCTTGCAGGAGCATGGAAAAACAATCAGCTCCTCTCCTTGCAGGCTTGCCCCTAGGTCCTTCAAATCTGCCCTCCCAGATCCTCTACCCCAAGGAGGTGTCTCTGCCGTGTCCTCTTGTGCTGAGAGCTCATTTCTCCAGGTATATAACCTCGAGTGGAGCAGGTGCAGTGGGAGAAGGCTACCCCAACAGACTGACTCACAGACCTGGAGGGGCCCTTGGAGATTGGTGAGCATCCCTCTGGGATCAATGAAGAAAAGGAAAGCATAAAGAGTGAAATGGCCCATCCAGGACCACCCGGGAGAATAAGGGCAGGTCTTCCAGCTCGAGTGTGTCCACGACGACCACTTCCGCCCCCCACCATCACTCTGTTTCACCCAAGGGCACCTTTCCCACCCCAACTCAAGCCTCAACGCTGATAGGCAAAGCTCCCCAGAGGACACCTGGCCAGGCCGGAACAATGCTCCAGGCCATCCTCCATCCTTGCCCTTCCACTTGCACGACCACACTTTATAGCCATGTGGGGCGAGGGACTGGGCAGGGAGGGGTGGAGGGATGCCCTGGTTCTAGACCAAGAGCTCACCCTGTCACATCCTGGAGCACCTAGAACTTCTACCCTGGACCCAGTTCAAACATGTAGAGACTGCACTGTCGTGGGTCCTGCGGCGGCTGCTATCCCACTTTTCGTCCTGACGCCCAGAGACCCCTCCATCTGGCTCAGTGCCTCAGACACCATCAGCCCTTAGCCCCGGGGACGCCTCATTCCTGACCCTCCCGACACTGAAACTTGTTGAAACACCCCTCTGGTTCTATGACATGAGGCTTATTCCCCAATCTCGTTCCTGGCTCCCCCCACCCCTGGGAAAACAAACAAAAAGCCCCTCTGGCTCTTCAAACAGACACAGAGCTTCTATAAGCCTGAAACCACCCTACTCTGAAGTCTCCCCCCTCCCTCAGGGCCACAGATGCCCCCAGGAGCCACACATGTCCTTCCGTAACAGAGGACTCATGAAGGGGGTGCTGGGGTTCCTCTGCTACCACTCGCTCATCAAGATGGCTGGGGGGGCCCGCTGCCGTGGTGCACCCGGCCCACATGTGTGCACAGGCTCCTGAAGGCCCTGGCCTGCCATCCCCAGGCTTGGACTCAGCTGGCCCTCCAGCTTCCTCCCAGAACCAGCTCCTGGCCCATCTGTCATTGCACTGACACTGGGTAAGGCAGCCTGGCAGGTCGTGTTAGCACCTAGAAGGAGAGAATGCCTCTCCATCCAAGAACCACTCTGCCCCCTTCCATCGTGTTTTGGGACTCATAGTGCCACTTTATCCCAGGCACCACGAGGCTCAGAGCTCCAGCTCGGTGACTGCTAGATTGCACACCTGTGGCATTCACTCCTGACTTCCTTTGCAAGGCCCTCGGTTTTTTCTTCCAACCATGCTCCTGTTGTATGCAAAGTTTCTTTTGTTTCCTTTTTAAAGATTTATTTATTTATTTTAGAGAGGGAGGGAGAGTGTGTTTGAGCAGGAGGAGGGAAAGAGGGAAAGGGAGAGAGAATCCCCAGGCTCCAGCATGAAGCCTTATGTGGGCTTGATCCCAGGACCCTGAGACGTGACCTGAGCCAAAATCAAGAGTCAGCCACATAACTGACTGAGCCACCCAAGCACCTCAATCAGTGTCCGTAGGCGATAAGGCCTATTTTTTTAAGCAAGCAAAAGAGAAAGGCCCACCTTCTTCACAGTTTTCCAGAGCCCTGCAGCTAGCTCTGGGGATCAGGACCAGAGCCCTCTGAACTCAGGCACTGCCTGTTTTCCAAACCAAACTAGCACTCCCCCTTCATCCAACATAGCCCCAGCACTCCCATGGTACAAAGAGGCCTCCCTTCCCTCTGCAGCCTCTGCCTCGGTACTCCACATCTGCCTCCTGCCAGGCCTAGACCAACCACAACTGGCTTCCACCCTCCACTATTCACTCACTCACATGGATTCACACACTCCCTCACACATATACATCATACACATACACTTTGCTACACCCTCACACTCACACTCACACACATACACGCACATACACACCACGAGGCACCACGTCTCAGTCACTGCCTCCCTCAGGAACCCTTGTCTTCTGGATTCTGGCCCACTCTCTCCTGGCTGTCCTTCCACCTCCGAGCTTCCCTGTCACAGGTTTTCCTTCCTCTGCCCCTCCCTGAAGAACTCGTGTGTCTAGCAGAGTTCTGCCTCACTATCCACACCAATGGCTTCTCTTATCACCAAAACACTGAGGATGCCCAAATCTGTAGGCATCTCCAGCCTAGACTCCCTCTTGGGCTCCACCAACCCACCCTGCACCATTCCACTCACTGATGGAGCTTTAATCACCAACAAGGCACCCAACAGCTCCCAAACCCACTTCTCCACTTCACTCCCTTTACTGGGCATGCCCCCAGGCATAGCCAAGGGGATGACAACGGTCCTCCAGGCACTGCAAATGCTGCACATCCAAACCTCCCCCCACCACACGCTGAATGGCTCCTTCGTCCCATAATTACTCTACTAGGAAACATGGTGGTCCCCATTCATTTGTCCATTCAAGTAATGATTGTGGAGGGCTCACCATGTGCCAGGCTCTCTGTGTAGGACGAGGTGTGGTGTAAACAAAACAGAAATGACTTCTGCCTCTGGGGAACGAAATTTCAACCAATCACCCAGTCTGTCGAGTCTACTTACCAATCATATCTGAAATGATAAACTTCTCTCCACTCCTGCGGCTGCCGTCTTAGTGCAGGCCAGGGCGCTACGCTGGAAAGCAGCGGGATGGATGGATCCCAGCTCCGAAATGCATGAGCTGTGTGACCTTAGGCAAACTACCTTCTGTATCTCAATCTCCTCATGTGACAGATAAAAATGGTAATAGTCATCTACCTTGTAGCTTTGTTGTGAGAATTAAATTCGATAAACCATATAATAAACCGACGTCCAGCACAGAGTAAGCAAACTTCTTGCGGCCCCCCACCTCACAGCCCTCACCACGTGCGCCCACCATCTGCAGCGCCCCGTAAGGCCAGGCTCTCTCCTACCCTCCAGCCTCTGCATATGCTTCTCCAGCTGACAACATTCCCTGGCTTTCTCCTTCTCATTTTTCAAGGTTCAGCTCAAGGCCCCCTCCCCTAGGCTCCCAGGCTGAGGCAGATGTCCCTTCCCGATGCAGCCTCATCTGAGAGCCCACAGCCCTCATCCCCTACCCTGGGATCGCTGCCTCGTCTGTCTCCCCTTCTGCACTGGCTGTTCCTCGCAGAGCACAGCGTTCACCTCTGCACACCCTTAGAACTGAGTGCTTGCTGGGCGCCACGGCGGCTAGAGAAGTGCTTAACAACAAACAGGGAAGGCAAAAGAACTCTAAAGAAGCACATTTCAACTCACTCTAACGACAACCAAAAAAACCCTCCTGATAATTACGCTACACTTACTAAGCATTTCCTCTAAGCCAGGCTCTGTGCTGAAATTTGGGCACACATCACATCCTCTAATCCTCAGGATAACCCTGTGATGTGGGCACGTTTACTCCCGTTTACAGGTGAACGAATGGCGACTCAAAAAAAGTTTACAACTTGCTCCGAGTCACGCAGCTAGTGAGCGGGAAAGTCAAACCCAGGCAGTCAGACTCCAACCCGCACGGCACGGCAGCACCAGCCTACTGGGAGCTACCTCTGTGATTTACCGGAGCCCCGTCCTGGTGGCCACATGACCTCACGGGGACCTGAGGTGGGGGCTTCCTCCAGAGGTGGGACCCAATTCACTGAAGGTCCCTTCTTAGTCCAGGCTCTAGGGGTCTATGCTTTGAAATTCTCTGCTCCTTGGCTTGTTCACCTCGGCTTCGCCACCGAGCTGAGCACGAGCTGAGCACGGAGTAGGCAGACAAACCATAGACCTGCGCCCAACGAAGTGGCCGGCAACGGGGTCTGCGCATGTCCGAGGCCCCCTCTGCGGGGCCCGGAAGCGCAGGGTGCGGAGCGGCGGCGGCGGCGGCGGCGGCGCGCTTACCGGCACAGGTGGTCGGTCCGGCACACGCCGCGGAGGTCCAGGCAGTTGGGCTTCTCCTTGTCCTCGTAGGAGCAACTGGGCAGGATGGTCTGCCGGCGGCGCTCGGCGCACGCCTGGTCTTGGCAGGAGCAGAAGAGCATGCGGTAGGTGTACTCGCTGGGCACCCGGTCGAAGAACTGGCGCAGGGCCTTGTGGCACTTGCGGCGGTTGCAGCGCTCAGTGGGCGAGATCTCGCGGTTGCAGATGGAGATGTAGGAGGAGCGTAGCTTCTTGCAGTTGTCGTTCAGGTTGCAGGCCTTGGCGGCGTCCAGGCAGTGGTTGCTCTTGGCGCTGACCGCCGGGTCTGCCCCTGTCCCTGGAGCGGAAGGAGAGAGCGGTCACAGGCCTGCCCGGGCACCGGAAGCCCACAGCCACCCGCCCCCGGGGGATGCCTCCCAGCGTCCACGGTGCCCTTTGCCTCGGTTTCCTCATCGGTGAAGTGGGGACACGGCCAGGATTAAACGAGCGAATAAACAGGTCCAGGCGCTTGGACCTGCGTAGGACAGCGCCTGGTACAGAGCACACTGTACCTGTGGGGAGCTCTGATGATGAGGACTGTTAACTGAGTCTTATTTAAATCTTACCACAACCAAAATGGCAAGCAACTAGGTGTTCGCAGTCCTGTTCACCAACAGGAAATAAAATGACTGGCTCCGGTTGATAGGACTGAGTGGCAGCTGAGGCAGGATGGGCCCCCAGCCCCTGAGCACCCAGCAACAGCACACTTGCGCGGGCTTCTGGTCGGGGTCCTGCTGGCATTTAGGGAGGGACAGTCCTCATCACAGGATCTTCAGCCAGAGTACAAACAGCACCACTGCCACCACCCTCACCCCCACCATAGGAGCACTGAAGCTGTCCTTACACGTTTCAAAATGCCCCAAGGCGGGGGTGCTGCAGCGGTTAGTTAGTCGGGAGAACCACGAAAAAGGACAGTGCAGGTGGGAGCCCGGGAGTGTGAGGTAGAGGCTGAAGGCCAGCCTCGGACTCTAACAGGGCTGAGCGCACAGCCAGCCAAAGGCTAGGTGTGCTGGATGTGGGACTTGGCGTTAGCGCCATGCCTTTGAGTTTTGCATCGCTGCCCACGGAGCGGAATGTCTTGGACACAAAGCAGAATTCTCAGAAATTGTCAGGTTCCTTTTGTGGTGGCTACCCCATCCCGCAGGTCTCAGCTCTTCTAACAACCACCTGACCCTCCGCTGCCAGCCGACCCCCACCTACAGAGTGCCTCTTGTCCATCCTGACAACAGACAGAGGAGGGAGGCAGGAATCGAGTCTGCACATGCCCACCTGAGACATTCTGGTGAGAGCCAGATGGGAGATCACCCACCCCCACCTCTTGATTTCGCAGATAAGGAAACTGAGGCACTAAGTGGGCAAGGTTTGCCCCAGGTCACCCAGCACACTGGTAGTAAACCAGAGCAGGGACCCAGTCGTGCCAGCACTGTGTACACCATCAGTTTAGCTTTTAGGACCGATGAGCCGCAGCCTCTTCATTCGTTCTTCATCCACCCAGTAAATGCTTGCCAATATTTAGTGAGCACCACCCACGTCATGCAAGGTCCTGGAAGGTGTTGGGAAGGATGCGGGGTGAGGGAGGCTGACACCATGCCCCGCTCCCGTGGCCACCACAGGTGCCTGAGCATTTCCAGCACTGTTCCTGGTCTCCGGGTCTCTGGGTCATTAAAGATCTATCAAACCCCACCTCTGCACAGCCCTCTCTGCTGGGTGCTGTGTCAGATACAGATGTGTAAGAGCTCGTCCCAATTCTCAAAGAGCTCACAAATCTAGCTAGGAAACCAAGAGACAGAATAGCGTAGCGGTTAAGACTGGGTGTTCTAGAACTGAGCCATCGGCATTAAATGGCCCTGCTTTGTGGCTTTGGACAAGTGACTGAATCTTCCTTTGCCTCAGTTTCCCCATCTGCATAATAGTACCTCCCACATAGCCTTGTTGTGAGCATGAAAGAGATCGCTCATTTTTTTCTCTCTCCTGCATGATAACTTTGCCCTGTCTACGAAATCATCCCCGTCAGGTGTTACACCACCCATCTTTAAGAAAAAAAAGCCTCCTAATGACCATACACCCACCGTTAAGCTACCACCCTATTTTTCTGCTTCCTTGAAAGCAAACCCCTCAAAGGAGTTGTCCATTCCAACAGTCTCTTTCTCCCCTCCTGGTCTCACCTGGACCCACTGCAGCCTGACATTTGCCTCCCGCTCTTGTCAGTGGTCAGGGATCCTGGGGCTTCCTCGTCCTCAGCCCATCAGGACACTGGACACAGCCGGTGGCCCCCTCTGGCCCCCTCTCCTCGCTCCCTTCCCTTCTCTGCTGGTCTTCTGTTCTCGCCTAAGCAGCCTTCCGCCTTCTCCTCCAGGGCTCAGCCCCCTCTTCTCTCTGTGCACCTACTCCCCGGGGCCCTCATGGCTTGTCCCCACCCAGACCTCCCCCTGGACCCCAGATTCGTATGTCCAACTGCCTGCCTGCCCACTTTACCTGGAAGGCTGACACCCACATCTCAAATTTAACCAAACCCACGTGTTCCCCGCAAGGCTGTTCCCCAGCCCCAGTCCTCCTGATCCCTCTGAAAACAACTCACACTCCCGGTAGCTCAGTCCAAAAATCTTGGCACTTCCACGACTCCTCTCGCATTCACACACCACGTCAGACAAACCAGGCAGTTCCACCTCCAAAACACATGCAGAATCCAACCACTTCTCACCACCACCACTGCTCCCACCATGGTCCAAGCCATCATCACTGCATGCTGGCAAGAGCCTCGCTTCCCAGTTGCCCTGCTCTGTCCTGGAGCCCACCCCAACCCCTGCCTCAAAACAATCCTCTCATCGCAGCTGGAGTGAACCTTCTAGAACCCAAGGCAGAGAGATAATGCTCCTGGGCCCCAACACTTCCTGTGGCTTCCCATCTCACTCGGGATATGGTCTCTCTATCTGTGCTGTCCAGTACAGTAGCCACTAGCCACACGTGGCCATTGCACCTGAAATGTGGCTAGCCCAAAATGGGATGTCCACACCAGATTTTGAAAATATACACCAGATTTTGAAGATGTGCTAAGAAAAAATAAAAATCATGTAAAGCATTTCATTAATAATTTTTTAGTTTGACTACATATTAAAATAATAATCTTCTGGGAATATATTAAACAAATATATTGTTAAAATTACTTTTACTTGCTTCTTTTTATTTTTTTAATGTGGCTACTAGAAAACTTAGAATTATATAGGTGACTCATATTTCTATTAGGCAGCACTGCCCTTGTATGACCTCACCTCCTACTCTTCCTAGTCACTTCCTCCATTCCAGTCACAGGGGCCTCCTTGCTCTTCCTGGACTGTGCCCTGACCTCAGGGCCTTTGCACTTGCTGCTTCCTCTTCCTGGAAAGCTCTTTCCTCACTTCTTTCAGGTCTCTATTCAAATGCTACCTTGTCTGTGAATCCTTCCCAACCACCCTATACATAAGAAGCTACTCCCATTATCCCTACTCTGATCCCTTTATCCCACAACTCATCACCATCTACCATAGTATATCCTTCCTTAGTCATTTGTTTGTGTCAAATATAAACGCCATAAAAGCAGAGGCTTTATTGGTTGTACTCACTGCTGTACCCATATTTCCCAATGTCTGGTGCATGGTAGGTGTTGAAGACAAATTTAACAAGTGAAAGAATAAATATACTTAGAATAATATTTAATTCCTAACAAGTACTCAAAAGTTGTTGGTTAATATTTTTAAAGAAGCCAAAATGACACAGAGCCAGCAATAGTGGTCAATACAAGACCATGTGTAATCAAGTATCAGTGTGGCCCGGAAGGGCTCAGATGTGAAAGTCAGGGGACGATGGACGAAGACTGGGCCTCACCCCGACTCCCTGCCAACAACAGCCCTACAAAGGCAGCAAGAGAAAAGTTTCTTCTCTTCTTCTTATAAAAAGGGGGATTAAGGCAGAAAGGGAATCAAGGTTGGTTTTCCTACTCATTGGATAAACAGATCTTTATTGAAGGCCCACTATGTGCCAAGCACTTCCTCAGAGACCCAGCTGGAAACAAAGGGGCTGAACTCTGCGTCAGGGAAGTCAGGGTGCTGTGGGAGCAGAGAGGAAAGCATCGTACCCAGACCAGAGGTCACACCAGTGGCATCTCTGCTGAACCTACAGGATGAGTCAGAGGAAGCAAAAAGAGTACAAAGCGGGTCCCAGGCTGAGCCAACAAAGAGCTGGGGCAAAAGCTGGGAGGCGCTGACAGCAATTCAGGATGCCTGGAGATGGAGACTGAAAGAGGAGCCCCGGAGAGCAGAACAGGGGCTTGTCCACAGTGGGGTGCGGCCTCCCAAGCAGTCGCCCTGAGCTGAGGCCACACCATCCTGCCCGGGGCCAGGATCCAAGGACACCCGTCTGCACACAGGCTGTTCTGGGGGCACTCCCTCTACAAAGGCTTCTCTCCCCCGCCAGCCAGGCTGTTCTTCCACGTTCCATGCACCTGTCAGGACGCTGGCGGGCAGAAGGGAAGAGCGAGTGAAGCAGCCTGGGGTGGAGGTGAGGGGAGCGAGGACTGCGAGGGCCCCCGGAGAGGAGCGGGGCGACTCCGCATGCCTAGCAGCAGCTAATTTAGGCCCACGGCTGCTTTTAGGTTCCCCAGGTGCTCTGCTCCCGCTCCTCTCAGCATGTTCCTGAGCTAATGCCGGTGTAATTACAGCCTCAGTACCTTCCATTTGGAGCTTGAATAGTGAAAGCTTGTGCTAGGGGGCGGGAAATGTAAACCCCTGGGCCAAAACTTGGTAAATGTCCTAGAAAAAACAGTCAATGTGGCAACAGCAATTGCCTAGTTACAGGGAAGAGGCCCCTTCCTACCCTCCCTGAGCAGGTGCCTGCCCTGGTGGGGAACGGCCCCTTCGGACCCTCCCGGAGCGGCTGCCCGACCCGGTGGGGAATGGCCCCAGAGGCTGGCTGGGCGCGGCTTTCTCTCCAAGCAAGGAGGCACGTTCCCAGGGCAGGCAGGCCGAGCACACAGGCCCTCCCACACGCACTCTCTCCCACCACTGAGCCGCCTCTCCCCTGGCTCTGGAAGGCTTTTTGTTTTCTCTTCTAGAGCCCCCACTGGGGGAGGAAGGAGGGAGGGCTGGATTGCAAACGGGAGCCTCACCCAGTGTGGGCCTCAGCCCCTTGACTAAACTGTCCAAAGGGCAGGGAGGGAGGCCCCAGCTACCCTCCCCTCGCGCCCCCTCCACACCCCTGGCAGAGACCACACAGGACCAGGTGAAGGATTCAGGCCTAGACCAGCCTGCTCTCTACACTCACTCT